TGGGGGTCTGGGCACAGGCACTGACAGGGCCCCCCCGCCTCTGCAGCAAGCTGCACTGCATGAGGAACTACATCCACATGAACCTCTTCGCCTCCTTCATCCTGAAGGGAGTCTCCGTGCTGGTCATCGACGCCCTGCTCAAGACCCACTACAGCGACAAGATTGACGACTACAACGTGCACATCTGGCTGAGTGACGAGGTGAGCCACGGGGCCGGTGGGGCCGGGGACGCGGGCAGCGCAGCAGCCCTGACCCCTGCCCACAGGCGGCCGCAGGCTGCCGGGCGGCCACAGTCTTCATGCAGTACGGCATAGTGGCCAACTACTGCTGGCTGCTGGTGGAGGGCATCTACCTGCACAACCTCCTGGTGGTGGCCGTCTTCTCCGAGAGGAGCTACTTTACCCTCTACCTGTGCATCGGCTGGGGTGAGTGCGGGTGGGCTGGCTCCCCATCCCCGACCTTGACCCCGCTGTGCCTCACCCGCCCCCTGCCCACCTCCCCTCCAGGGGCGCCCATGCTGTTCCTCATCCCCTGGGTCGTTGTGAAGTTCCTCTACGAAAACATCCAGTGAGTACCCGTCCCTGCAGCGATTTGGCGTCTGTGGGCGTGCGGGGCACGGGTGGGTGCGTGTGGGACATGGTGAGGGATGGTGGGGATGGTGTGACAGCCCTGGAGAGGCTCCACGCCATCGCCCCATGCAAGGAGCAGGGTGCCAGGCTGTGGCACTCGCTCGGCTGGGGCTGCCAACGCCACGCCGGGCTCTAGCAGCTGCCCGGTTGAGGGGCTGCCTGGCAGTCCCTATCCCCTGCCTCTCCAGGTGCTGGACCACGAACAACAACATGGGCTTCTGGTGGATCCTTCGCTTCCCCGTGTTCCTGGCCATCCTGGTGAGTCCAGGGGTGCGGCTCTGCCCACCGCAGCCCTTCGCTCGGCGTCTGCGAGGACACCGAGCCTGATGCGAAAGGGGCTGCCCTAGACAGGGGACAGAGATACCCTGCCTGCCCCTGCCCTGCCCCTCATTGCACACTCTGCTCCATTGCAGATCAACTTCTTCATCTTCATCCGCATCATCCAGATCCTCGTCTCCAAGCTCCGCGCGCACCAGATGCGCTACACTGACTACAAGTTCAGGTGGGTGGTGGGGACAGTCCCGGCCCCGCACACCCATGGTGCACATGCTGGTGCGTGTGTATGTGCCCACATCGTGATCCCAGCGCTGACGGGCCCCTCTCCACGCAGGCTGGCCAAGTCCACGCTGACGCTGATCCCACTGCTGGGCATCCACGAGGTGGTCTTCGCCTTCATCACAGACGAGCATGCCCAGGGTACCCTGCGCTACGTCAAGCTCTTCTTTGACCTCTTCCTGAGCTCCTTCCAGGTGAGCCCAGCCCCACACGGGACAGGCCCTTCACAGGAACCCTTCATCTCAGGAGGGAACAGACCAGGGTTGGGGTCGGGGTCCAGCCACGTGCCTCTCATGCCTCTCCTCCCTCCACCCAGGGGATGCTGGTGGCCATTCTCTACTGCTTCGTCAACAAGGAGGTGAGCAGGACAGCATGGGAGCGGGCAGCTGGGGCAGCCAGCGGGCACAGGGACCACACTGATGGTGGCTGCTTGCAGGTGCAGGCAGAGCTACTGAAGAGGTGGCAGCGCTGGAAGCTGGGGAAGGACCTGGCAGAGGAGTACAAGCACACCTACAGCCACGCGCCCAGTGCCCGCAACGGTGCCGGCAGTGCCTGTGAGAAGCATCAGCTGGTAAGCGGCTGCGCCAATGGGCTGGGGCGCAGCCCGGGCGCCGTGCGCCCCGGC